GGGGGGTTGGCTGGTAGCGGGCACATTGAGGTAACTGGCCTTGGTGCAGCAGAGAAAGTAAATCTCCGGCACTGACAAGGGCGCATCCATCTGAAATTTGTAAATCCCGACTGTCATGATATTTTTGCATTTGTGCCCTTTTGCCTGTGCTGGAATAGACTGCACTAAAGGGCCCGTTCCCCCTAAGGCTTTTGCTGGGGAGTTAAAATTGATGTAAACCCAAATTGGATGACATTTACTTTGCTGTGCATCATAAAATTTGCCATTAAAAAAAACAAAACAGAATCCATATGCTCACACCGAATCATCCTTCATCATTAGTGCTGCTGATCTCCTGAATCTTCTTCCTATCTTTATGCACCTCAGCGATGGCTGCATGGCATTTTTCTGGGTGGAACAGTGGAATGTACCTCTGTATTGTGTGTTAAAATGGCCTCCAATAGAAGCCCATGTGACAGTGTGACAACGTAGGAGCACAATTGGGAGACAGGGATAGATCGTTGTCAGTCTATAAAAGGAAGTGCCTGAACAAGAACCCTAATAGCAGCATCACCAGGAATTATTTTACAGAAAGCTGCACATACAAAATGACAATGTTAACGCTCATAAGAGATTGAAGTGATTGGGTTGACATTTATTTTAAACTTCCAAAACTCCAAGAACAGAGCCAAGAACTTTAATAGGGAAAGCTCAGCAGTGGAGCCTCTAGGGAATATACAAATGGGGTGACTCAGCTGACCAGACTCCACTTTCGACTAAAATTGCATTTTTGGGTTAAGGTGTAAATGACTGAACCTAGGTCTTGTTTTGGCTCCAATAGACCCATCGCTGTGCTGCGTTCCCGCTGTGCCCATTCTGAGTAGTTCCCACCATCCCTGTGCTGAGTTCCCGGGTCTGTACCCCCGCTGTGCCCATTATGAGGGGTTCCCACCATCCCTGTGCTGAGTTTCCGGGTCTGTACACCCGCTGTGTCCATTATGAGGGGTTAATTTTGTTTATTGAAAATATTACAAACAAGAACTTATATACAATAAAACAATAATAAATAAATGAATGAATAAAACATATATACAAAATAATTGAATATAACTATACAAAACAAAGGGCAATAACATCAAACAGAAAAATCAATGCGCACAGCATAATCCCTATGAGAGAGCCAGACTAAGGAACATCACCGTCACCATGCATGTCGCCTCTTATCAAAAATGTATTTGATCTGAAAATCTCGGGGAGTGAAGAAAGGACAGAGAGAAAAGCCGCACACCCCGAGATCAACATGCAGCAGCTACAGAGTCCTGATATTCCTCCACGCCTTTATCCAGGCCCCCTGCTGCCACCTGTCTTTCTCAAGACCCCGAATCTTCCCGACCTCACCCAGAATGTCCTGCACCACCACCTGGACAGGGAGGATTTTACTCCGCAAGGATACCTGACACCGTGCACTCCACGTGAAATAACGGACTACGAGACTAACTAGAAAAAGTGTTTCCAAATCATAATCCCGGCGAGTCTGGAATGCCAGCTCCCACCATCCCTGTGCTGAGTTCCCGGGTCTGTACACCCGCTGTGCCCATTATGAGGAGCTCCCACCATCCCTGTGCTGAGTTCCCGGGTCTGTACACCCGCTGTGCCCATTATGAGGAGCTCCCACCATCCCTGTGCTGAGTTCCCAGGTCTGTACCCCCGCTGTGCCCATTATGAGGGGCTCCCACCATCCCTGTGCTGAGTTCCCGGGTCTGTACACCCGCTGTGCCCATTATGAGGGGCCCCCACCATCCCTGTGCTGAGTTCCCGGGTCTGTACACCCGCTGTGCCCATTATGAGGGGCTCCCACCATCCCTGTGTCTCCTGCCTGTGCTGGTTCCTACATGTGAGATCTTCGGCTGCGTGTGTGAGTCTGGGGGGGGGTTACAAAGTCACTTTTTTTTACTAGCGTAGTTTTCAAAGTGAATAAAATGTCAATCTGCTGTCCCCGGGATGGTCACATTGTCCCGCAGAATCGCCCGGTCAGCACTTTGTAGGTCAATTATGCAGTACGGAGGGACAGGAAATCTCCGGCTCAGGCGCGCGGTGAAGGGCAGGCTTAATCTGTGAACAAGCGGCGTGCGTTTCCTCCGCGAGAGGCTAATTAGGAAAAGTTCATAAATAATACATCGGCTATGGATCTTTAGAGAACTTAAATACATTTTACTGCGACACAGGAAGCGGGCCACGTACACACAGCCGCCCACTCCTGGCCTCAAAACCCTTAAATTAATAATGTTTATTCCGCGCGGAGATGATTAAATGTGCGGCGTTTCCGCGCGTCTGCCGAGAAATAATCACTTTCGTTTACACTTGTTTAATTAGCTTTGATTAGATCAGCTATTCGTGTGATTTATGGATCTTTGCCGGGAACGTCTGAGCGCTCAGGTCGCCGATACCCGGAGTGGATGAAAAGTTGCGTTTGTCGATCCTTCTACAACTGTTTTTTTTTGCAGGCGTGGCGGTTCTGGAAGGTCCGATGTATGCCGTGGGCGGCCATGATGGATGGAGCTACCTTAACACAGTGGAGCGGTGGGATCCTCAAGCGCGGCAATGGAATTACGTCGCCAGCATGACAACCCCCAGGAGCACGGTTGGGGTGGCAGCTTTGAATAACAAGTGAGTGTGTACGCAGAGCGGATCCACTATAGGGGTTTCATTGTGCCGGAGGACTGCTGCGGGAGGCTTGTGTGGGCCGGGGACCAATATAAATACAACTTACTACAAATACAATTGTAGGAAGAGACAAATGTATCAACTATTGTTACAACAAAGCGGGTCTTCCATGGGAAACGGACTTTGTTGACAGCCCTCCCCCCCCAACAAAAAATGCCAAAAAACTGTTCACCCCCTGTTCTTTCCATCCAGTTCTCAGAATCACACAGCACAGCCTCGTCTATAGGAGGAGGAGACCTGATTTGTTTTCCTTTTTCAGTTAAGTAACACTTAGAGGTCTTGTCCCCCCCCCCCCAGCCTGCGATTGGACAGTGAAAGGAGAAGCAGCAGACTGAGGAGCTCATCTTTCTGTCACTCTGCTCTTTCTTCCTATCAGCATGTTTCTTGTTAGCACATGAGCTCAACGGACTAGCTCCTTGTGCTGCTTCTCCCTCCCCAAGCCTAAGCTCTGCTGTACAGGGACTGCAATAGGCAGCTACTGTATTCAGGAATGTTCACTGCTTATATATTTAAAAAAATACATTTAAAGTGACATTAAACCCTCAGATTTTTTAACATAAAACAATACTGTAATGTGCGCCTTACTGTAATCCATGGTTGTTTCCCTTCTCTTTGCTGCTCTTCCTTATAAATCCTCATCTCTTCTCATGCAGGGGGAGAACTTCTGTTTTGAAATGGATACATGGTGTCTGTGTGTAGGTTCACAACCTGAGCCAGCACTACAGGAAGAGGCACTCAGCTGCAAAGGGAAGTTCTCCCCAAGCATGAGAAGACATGATGATTTAAAAGGAAGAGCAGCAAAGAGAAGGGAAACTACCATGGATTACAGTAAGGCAGAGCGGGAGGGGGGAATCCAGCCCCTCCCCTGTCACGGCAGAGAGCCGTGACAGGATCGAGAGGTGAGGGAACGCCGGTATGTGTTCGCTCACTTCCCGATCTACTGAGCCGACCTGTGATAGTCTCATTGTCATTGAGGTGAGTGGAAAAAATCACTCATCTCATAGTTCTCCTTTAATGATATATTATTCTAATATAATGAATACAGAGTTGCACTGATTTGTGTCCTATATAGACACCAATGAATTACAGATGCATTGGGGGAAAGCAAGATGGTGTGGACTGACCCCTATAGTTCTATAAGCAGTTACTACACGGGTGGCACAGTCTGCAGAGCTGTACCCATCCCAGGTCCTTTATACTGCATAACATGAAGCAGACATGGAGACACGAGATAACAGTCAGGAAACAATAACTGGCTGCTAACAAAGACCCTTCAACAATGGGGGGAACGTGACTTTCTAGCCACAGAATTCCTGAGATAACAGAAGCCTCTGGATAAACCTGGATTACAGCGCCCCCTGCAGGTGGACACGGAACAGAAACGATGCTCTACGTACCTTTCATACATTTCCTACAGATCGGAACAGCCAACATCCAGAGATAATGAAAGGAAGCCACGAACATGGCCACCATTATGTGGCGGCAGGCACCCCAGGACAATCGATCCTGGAGGAAATAGCGATGTCCCCCCTGGGGTCCTACGGGTAAGGGCTCATTCACACGAGGAAAGGCTGGCACGTACAGCTCCGTGCTGCATGCAGGACTTTGTCGGGCAGCTCCCGGGAAGGACAGGCGCTGCATGTGATTAGTACGCAGCCCCGTCCTTCTCTATGAGAGTACGCACTCACCCGCCGTGCGCACATCTGTGCGGGTGTCCGTACTCGTATGGATCCTGTCAGTGTCTGAGCCGGGACACCCGCACCCGTACGGACCTGCACTTGGAGTGAGCGTGGGCTGTGTATGGCCGCATACTGCCATAGAGAAGGACGGGGGCTGCGTACTAATCACACACAGCACCTGTTCTTCCCGGGAGATGCCTGATACGGCCGTGCACGCAGCACAGAGCTGTACATGCCGGCCTTATGTCGTGTGAAGCAGGCCTTGCAGTAAAGGTCCATTAGTTTTGTCTGGGCCCGCTCCCCCTTTAAAAATAACCCAATGTTAGATGTTCCAAAATACAGTATACTTGTAATTAGGGATGCACCGATACTAGTATCGATATCGGTGCTGATTCCGAGTATTTGGGCAAGTACTCGTACTCGCCCAAATGCTCCGATGCCTAGCACGAGTACTTCCGGTATCAGGAAGCCGGGCAGCGCGTCATTACACGCTGCCCGGTTTCGCGATTGACCTGAAACTGGCCTCGTGAGGTAAGGTTACCTTACCTTAGTATGTTAAGAACACAAAAAAAGGATAAAGCGCAATCCTGTGGGCGAACTTCAATGGGGTGGCTGATATTTGTAGGTGTGCAAAGCTCCTCACTACAGGGAGAGGACCCTGTCTATACGTAACTGCAGATAAAAACTCAAAGGACAGGAGCGCAACTACCAGGAGTGACGTGAACGGAGTGGATCTAGTGGGTCTATGCGAAGGGGGAAGATAGTAACGAGTAACGGAAAAAAAATTATCGGTACTCGGTACCAAAATACCGGTATCGGTGCATCCCTACTTGTAATGAAATAAGTTGTATCCACACTTACCCCACCCCCGTCTTCTGCTCACGGCCCCTACGCTTGGCTTTCCTATTGGCTTCAATGTATTTCACCAAAAGGGTCAAATTGTTTTTCGAATCTTCCAATTTTTAACAGAATTTGGGGAACATTTTTCCCGATAGACTACAACACTCTATAATAGAGGTAGGCAACAACATTCTGCAAGTCCCATGAGGCATTGCAAGAGTCTGCAGCTGCAGGCGTGACTACCAGAGGCAAGGCACCCAAGCTGAAGTGCCAAGACTGTATACCCCTGGTCTGTACCCCTGGTCTCAGTTTCCCTCATTGAGCTTCCTCTATAGTTCAGTGAAGAGAATAAGTTGCCCTCTTCCGTACAGATAACCTGTAATTTAGGTGATGCGGCCCTTTTAATCTATGAACAGATTGGAGGGTATATCGTTTTCGCACTAAGCACTTTTTCCTGAAATGCGACCGCAGCAGATTTTTTTTTGCTACCCTCCTTTTCCTAAACTGCAGCAGAAGCCGGTTCCTTTCATGTGCCCTTTGTGCGAGGGACGCAGCTGCGCCATTAATGGCTCTCCCAACATCCCCATTCAGCTCGGCCGAATTATTTATGCAGCTGCCGAACAATCGCTCAATCACAGACTCTTTATTCCTCCGATATAAACCCGCCGTCGCCGCTTCCGTATCGTCGCGCCGCCTTCTATTCGGGAAATCATTCTATGTAGGACGGTCTCCCTCAGCACTCGGTCTACGGACAGGATTCTGACCTATCAGCAAAGTGCAGACGCTTGAAAACATGACACCGATCATTAAATACAACGTATCCGCGGAGTGGAAACATAGAACTCAGGATCTCTCCGGGCCCCCGAGCCCCGAGCCCTCCCAGAGCCTCAACGCTTTTCTTTTCCTGTCTCATTTTTGCTCCTCACAACTTAGTAGATGTAAACCCAAACAGGGCTATTTACAGAAGGGTGAAGAGTTTGGAGGAGGAAGAAGGGAACAATCTAGGCCAACATAGCTTTCCAAACTCTTCACCCTTCTGTGAATAACCCCGATTATGAACACTGATTCGTTTCGTGAAGCACCGCGCATCCTAAACAATTGCAATTGTATCCGTTGTCACTCTATAACAGGAAGTTCCTGAAAAAGGACCTCTATGGCGGGATCACCCTGGATTATAATGAAGGATGTGGATTTGGTTTTAATAATATTATAAATACCCAGATAGCAAGCAATTGAGCTGCAAGTTTGATAATGACTCGCTAAACTATCGCAGACTTGCCGAGCTTCACAATTTTGTTGCACAATTACAGCAAGTCTGCATTGCAAGTCTCCAGACCAGCCAGCTTGCAGAGCTATTGCTAAGACCTGCAGGACTCTTGCTGTAGACTTGCCGAGCAAATTTGCTACAAATTCACAAACTGCTACAAATTCAAAAAGTGTCGCCTAGAACTTGTGCTGCTGCGAGTGTTCTGCAAGTCTACAACCTGCCAGGAATGTGTGCAGCAAGGTAACAAGAATTACAATGTAACCCCGGCACACGTTTGTGGCAAGTTATCCTTCCTATCTGGGTAGTAATGAGTGAATGTGGGCGGGTTCGGCTTGCAAATAGTTTTGCTCATCTTGCTTGAAGTTTGCGAAGAACCCCGTTAAAGTCTATGAGGGGCGAATATTGTTATTTATATTCTATGTGTAAGGCTAATAAGCATCATTTCATCAAATGA